TGTGTGTGTGTGTGTGTGTGTATGTGTCATTCGTAGTAAATTCATTAGGCGTGCTACGTACATTACGACGATATATTAATATACACATATGTATCACTCTCGCATATATGCATATCAAGAATTAAGACTACAGTTCGTTTTACATATAATTTGTAATATATTACATCTAATTTATAATACGATCGACATTGGTAATAAATAAAATTCGACTACCTTTTATTCAGAGTTATACAACAAATTATCGCTCAATTGGAAGCCTTGAAATTTTCATTGCACGTTAAAATACATTGCAGAATAAAATGTGAAAAAAATCTTTCTATAATTTTCACAAGTAGTAACTCTTACAAATTTATAATTTAAAATTTACGACTCTCGCAAACCTCGCACGGATGAATAGTCAATCTCCTCAATGTTTAAATCAATGCAAATATCACAGTACCGAAAATACAGAACGTGAAAGTCAAGTTAAAAACAAACATGCTACAACAGCAATCATCCTACACGTTACATCATCGAATAATATACGTTAGATATTCCATCGTCTGATTTTATCCGACGTTCGCGTCTTTGCTGCCATCTAACGACGCAATTTTTCAATAGAAATTTATAATACAAAGAAATTTAGAAACAGCTTAGAATTTAGAATTTAAATACAACGTGTGAATAATAAAAACGTAACAAACTATTTTAAAATTTGAGAGAAAGTATCATTTCACGTTAGATGTGTTCTATCTTTAGTCGTCCAGTACGACGTACAATTAGGTGTTGAGTCTACTCTATAACTTGTTCATGGTACTAACAAACAATTCACACGGCAGTATTTTCACAACACGTATTTTCTACGAAATTTCCTACTTTATAGTACCAAGGAAGTGCCGAGGAAGGTAGAATTTGCTATCGAATGAAAAAAGTAAAAAAATAGAGTACGTTTACAAATTTCATTGAAAATTAAATTTTCTATCGATAAACAACAACGTAATAACGCAATAACGCATTTTTCGCAGCAGAAAGTAGCATTTGATACAAGATTCGATAGAAACATAACGAAACTATTTGCCAACGAGAAAGTGTAAAAATTGCATAAAAATTGGCAAAAGTTTCTGCGATATTTTTACATACGATCATAATTTCATATTGTTTTTGTTACATTTAACAAAAGGAAAAAAAATTTTTCAAGGTACGTGAATTTGAATATTTAAATATCTTATCGTCGAGGAGCGAATGCAATCGCAAAAAAAATTCAAACAATTTTACGTTATATAGCAGCAAATCAAAAGTTACTTACGTCGTTCTCAACAGTTCTCCTAAGAAAGAAACGAGTATGACGAAGAAAAAGCAAACGGCTATTTCTGGAATTTACAAAGAGAACTGGTATTGCAACTCCATGCTAAGTGCGAACAAAAATTGGAACACATCGGCGAATTCAGGAACAGGAACATTCAACAGATCTACGTTGAAAAGAAGGAACTGCGGAGAATCGCAGCAAGACTCGAACGTTCCTTCGAAAAGAATTTTAAGATCTACGCACGTCACGGAGTGTCAAGTTTTGCAGAACAATTGCGAGAGAAATACATCAGCTTCGTTACTGGGAATCCCCAGTAAGAGTAACAAGAAATTAAGCGCGATTAAAACCTCAAACGTAAATATCAAGGACAAAGCAACATTAAAACACGACGTGCAAAGTAGGATGTGCAAGTCTAATCGACATTGTAATTTGTACGACAGCAATGGAATCAATCGTAAGCAAAATACCAAATTTCAACAGGAAAACTTACTCGCGTACGAAACAAACTTATCGCAACGAAAATCTTTAAAACCAAAGTCACGTAAAAATATAAATCAATCTAACGCTACTAATATTCCAAGTTCAATAGTCGAGTCTAACTGGGAAAGAAATTACACTACCTCGATACAAACCAGAAGGAAAGGTAACTGCGAAACTATCAAATCCGTTACAACCGAAGAATCAAACAAATTTCATTTGCAAATAAAGGGAAAGGAACGAAAAGATTTAGATCACGCGGCAGGTAAATATAAAAAATGTAATAAAAGAAGCCAAAAAAAAATATATTCCAAGAGGATGGTAGAAAAAGTAAATGCGAATAACCCTCCCACAGTTACCACAGCACGGCCAAGTAAAATTGGAAGAAAAATAAACAAAGATACAGCAACGCGTGGAAGTTGTAGTACAGCAGGCAGTAAGAGATTGATAATTCCTTTAATCAGAACGGACGATCTTCCTTTATCCGAATTGTCTAAATTAATTCAGCCCTCGAAATCGGCACAAGTCAAACAGAACATACAACGGAATAAAAACGTATATTTTGAAACGAAAAATATTACAGAGACGCAATGTTCCACGTACAAGCAATACAGAACTAATGGTAATCTTAAGCAAGACGAGGAAATAAATATACTGTACAAGTCAGTGTTTGAGAGAAGATATACAGAATTTAAAGACAACGGAAGGAAAGAAATCGACGCAAATATCAAACTTGAAAGAAACACATATAAAATGTCCGTGGAAAATAAAGTTAACACTACAGAAACATTACGAGGTAATTCTGGATGCGAATCAGAATCGACAAATTTATTAGAAAATATTTTACAATTATTTTTAAAGAACAGAAGAAACACGGCAAATATGAAAACAAGACAGAAATCAAAAATCGAGACTCGTACGAAAAAATGTGTAGCAATGTGCGGCAAGTGTGCCGAAGTGTTTGATCTTTTACGACAATTTTCAGGTAAGATAAACTTTATGCAAAGTGAAAGATTGCGCATTGAATGTACACTGTGTAACGTACAAATTAATTCTCTATTTGACTTTCAACAACACGTGACGGATATACATTTACAATGTAAGAGGAAATCATTGGGTAGGAAAACAAAATTTCCAGTCGTTATCGTTAACTTGAACGAGCAAATAAACGCAGATGACAGGGGTAGCCAATTCATTTTCGAATGTTGTTGTTGTTCAAGAATATTCGATCGTGCAATAGATTTTGAAGAACATATCAACAACATGCATCGTACAAGCGACGTTAAAAGAAAATGTAAATCAAAACGAACGGCCAAATCTTCCGAATTGTACGCAACAACATTTAAAGACGAACAAGTAGTCGATGAAACTTGCGCTTTAAACGAACATTACGTCTTCGATATTTCGACCAACGTGGACGGAATTTCCAATCAAATAATAACGAAAGAAAATTTAGAAATTATAGAAAATGTAAGAAGATTGAATATCGATGAAAAATATGGAAACGGTATTTCAAGAATTGCAATTACCTCAAAATCAGAACTTACCAATATACCGAGTTATACGGAGATTAATGAAAGATTCAAAGCATACCAGAGGCACAAAAGATATTCCTTTAGTTGCGATGTTTGTTTCAAAAGATATAAAAGGAAACATATGTTTCTATCTCATATGTCGAAACACGTACGCGGCGAACAACGAAAGACGCAAGAGAGCGATAATCCAATTACACTCGACAATGATCCAGCATTGAATTCAAACGTTAAAACTTGTCAAGGTTATATCGATAGCTTCGAAGAAGACGACGACACGTCGAATCCTACGGTAAATTTGAACGAATTGAACCAAAACACTTTAATATCAAAGATGATCGACAAGAACAAGGAGGTTAGCAACAGCATTGAAAATGCAAATATGGAATATGTTACCAAAGAGGATAGTACATCAAACAAAATAGACAATTACAGTTATTTATTACGTATAAACCTTACGCAAAAGACTGAAGAAGGTACAAAAAGACAAAAATCAATTAAATTCGATATAAACGTTGCAAAAAAGTATAAGACGAGTAGCAGCAACGAGCAGCAAAATATAGAGAATGAGATTGAGAACAAGCGTCCTCCAAAAAGCAGTTTCACTAGAAACGGTAGTTTCGCGATGACGGATACGAAGAAGATGGATAAAAAGAAGAAGGACGAAAGTGGCGTGAAAAAACGACAGTGCAACGTATGTGATAAAAAATTTAGTTCGTTAACGATATTGAAGGAACACATGTTCATTTTACACGACTCTCTGCTCGAAGATCCAGAATTATCAAACTTACCAACGATGCCACGTTTCAACGACAACCGTAAAATACAAAATCTATCCACGCAAGATACGTACACGTTGGAAGAGAAACGCGATCTGTCACACGAAACGCGGACACGTAAGAAAATGTTGGGAAACGGCGACGAACACGGCAAAGTAACAGTTTACCAAACTTTCAACACGGACAAGAAGAATAGGAAATGGCGTTGCAACGCGTGTAAAGAAAATTTCGCGTTACTTAGAAATTATTTACGACATAAATATTACTGTCACAACGATGAATCCGTAGTTCATATTTGCGATAATTGTAACAAAATTCTTACCTCAGTCGCAATGGTGAACATCCATACGTGCGCCAATGTTACTTCTTGGATTTGTAAAAGATGCAATCTTAATTTTTCCAGCGGCGTATGCTTGACAAGACACAATATGAATTGTCATTTGGAGAAAGTAGGCCCACATATATGCAAAATATGCAAATTCAGTTTTCTCACGGCATATATGTTGACAAAACACGAGGCAACACATTCCACGTAACAAATCCGACAATCAACGGGCAATTTCACAGATTCACCCGTTCTATTTGCAAAGGACGTTTCCATCCAATACCGTAAATAATACGAACTGAATCACAGAATGGAGAACTCAATAAAAAACAATCAAACAACAAGACTGTGTCTCGTACGAATGAAAATGTAGAAATTTTGTAGTTGGGTAGTTTTCAGAAACCTATATTACCGTCCGTACCGTCTAGTAATGAGTAATGAAAAGTGATACTCGAACGTAAATAGCTATAGTACGAAAAAGACCTAATAGCAAATAGACTCATTACGTGCTGGAACGAATGGAACTTTATGGAAGATGAAACTTGAAAGAGTGGCATAACATGGAAATACGTAACGGCTCCTTGTATATATTTATTAGCGACACGTATATATATATATATATATATGTGTATATATATATATAATAGCTCATTTTTCGCAAACGAATCAAGACACGAGACATAACATTTCATCGTATAGTTTCAAACAACTTCGATATTTCAAAGAGAACGATACAAACTAAATTCAAGCGACGTATAAAAATTGTACAAGTATTTTCAGAATCGTGTAACAAGAATTCACGGCGTGAAACATTTTATCACGAGTATCAAAGATTCGATAACATCGTAGAAAACAAATGTTTACGTTAAGCGACGTTGTCGAAACAATTTTTGACAAATAACGCTTTCCATGTTGTTACTCCTCGAATTATCACGATAAAATACGAGGTTTATCGGGTGAAAATTTACAAAATTTTAGCAAATATTCAAAAATCTGTCGATTCATATTTGGATAGCGGGAAAGTTCTACGTCGTAGTTGTCAAGCGAACATACAAAGTGAAAACGCGATCATCAAGATACAGAGCGAAGTAAGAGTACGTCAAGTTGCAGTTTATAAGGATATCTGTAATTTATCGAACAAAAAACACGTAAATTATTTTTGTCAAGATCGTCGATCGAGCAGGAATGAAAAATGAAATTTCAGTTACCCACGAGTAAACGTACGTACCTTTCACGTATCATACTTTTCATCGATTCGTTCTATAAATAAAACATTTCTTTATTTATTATTGCCATAATTATTACTTTATTCGACCGAGTTTGCTCGAACTTGCATACACAAAATACTCGTATGTTATATAAAAAAGGGATAAAAAGACTTTTTGCAAGACGATATCAAACACGATACGATACGGTACAGATTATTTCGACAACCGTTCGAATCAGTTCAAACATCGATGATAAAATCTTTAATCGGAAGTTTGATTCAAGTAAACACGGGACAATCGAATTACGCAGGAAATAGAACGTACATTCATCACCGTCAAAACTTTCCTCCTAATTCGAAATTTTCCTTGAAAAGTAGACGCTTTTGTTATAATTTAAACTCTTTAACTGCATTTCAACGACAATCGGCACTGTAGAAACTGACAATTTTTGAAACGAACATTAACCACCGAAAATTAACCACGTATCTTTTATATTTTTTTATTTAATTTAACTCAACGCACAAATATAACACGAGCGAGATATAAACTGAACGAAACGAATCTGAAAATCGATCTTAATTTATAAAATAAGATACTTTCTCTCCGACTTGGATAAAAATTATGCAACGACTCGTCGATTAATTTCAATTCGCCAATCAAACGCGTATCTTGCTTCAATTCAGCACGATCGTATTGTCATACATCGCATACTACGTTCTACGTACGCAGTCAACTAATCGTTCGATAAATTTGGGATAAATTTTAGAAAGACCGTAAGTGTAATTCCAAAGCACGCATGTCAAAATTCGCGCCGGACAGACTACCGCAGCGCTTGCTTCATTACCTCGCTGTTTTATATATTTACACAGTTGACTTTCGAATCAGTTTAGTTGCTATTTCGCGTCAATGGCTTTTACAAGTTTGGACGTTTTGAAATTGCGTAGACAACGATATCGAATGTCATGGACAGTGACAGCTCTTTTTTAGTTTGACAAGACAGTTTGTATCTCGGTGATTTAATACCGAGACATTACGATCGAACGTTCACGCAATTTCATCGTATTTAATTATTGAAATCCCCTTTCAACAGTTCACTGCAAGTGTATACAATTTTCGGCGAATTAAAATTTACCAATTGCTATTACTGTTTTATCGAGTGTTATTACCGACTAGTGTTTAGCGGGCAAACCAGCGTAAAACGTACGATGCATTTGTTTAGAAAAACATAATATACACGTACGTGGGTGATTGACCGTACATGCACAGTACGCGTTGCATCGATGTTATTCGTAAGATACAAATAACACTGCACGTTTATCACAATTATACATTTCAATTTATTCCTTTTCTCGAGAATGTAACGTATTCTTGTACATTATGCGGAATATCGTAATATATGTGTGTGTGTGTGTGTGTGCGCGCGCGCGTGCGTGCGTGCGTGCGTGCGTGCGTGCGTGTCAGTTTAACTTTTGTGCGCTGTATTTTATACACGTATTCTCTTTTACAGTTATGCAATTTTAAACAATATCGAACAATATCAGACTCGACGAGAACCAAGAGACGAACAATGGGCACAATTACTTTCACATCGTGAAATAAGTTACATTCCACGATGTACGTCTGGAGGTAAAAGTTGATGCGAAAGAAAGAGTTACGATCAAATATGACTGGTTCCTCGGAGATGGATACGAACAAACAAACAGAAGACTCCAACAACGTTCCGAATAATGGAAAATCTGAAAGTTCAGATTCAATAGAGGTTGTTACGAAGTGACGTAAATTTTCATTCAACTCTTTGGGGTTAGCTAGGTTAGAAAGTGTCCCTCGAGTTTCGCTCAGCACGGTTTTACGCACGGTGGGATACGTTTCAACCCGCCTTGAAAAGTCGTACAGTTGGACGTGTTTTTTCCATTTTTTTTACATCAGCGAAAACTCTGTGCAATTCTTGGGTTTTCACTTTCTTTCAAAATCGCGCGTGCCTCAAAGAGTCCTCGACGAAACAAAGATGCACGCGGTTTCATTCGGCGAAGAACACAAAGCTATATAAATTTATCTACATATCTTTTATTTAGGTGGATAATTCACGTACAGTTCTGTTAAAAATAGCAACGTTATACGCAGAACGTCTTATGAACGACATCTGTCTCGTCGTTAACGGTACGGAGTATCCAGCGCATCGCCTTATACTTTGCGCTTCTAGCGATGTTTTTCAAGTGAGTAAATTATATATTTAAATTGCCGCGTAAAACGAAAGATACGATTGTTTATTCTCGTACACGCAGAATGTCACTAAACCGAGGGTGACATAAAACCTAAATACGATACGATCTCATCGAAAGAAAGAAATTAACGCAAATAGCATTTTTTCACGTTTAACCAACTATCCGTCTCAAACGACAAGTTGATAATTTCGACTCGATATATTCGGAATGATACGACATATCGGATATAATTATACATAGTCGGTAGACGAACTGAAACTATATTTTTAACCATTTTTATAGAAACAAAAGATATCTTTTCACCGTTCAAGTGAAAAATCCTACCGTTTCGTTACTCGTGCTTCGTTGCAAACACGAAATAATGCAAGCTGTAATTGCAATCGACAATTTGTATCTATCCGTTTATTTAACTTATCGTCGGACGCACGTACACGTTCGATAAATGTTCGACGTTCCATTTGAAAACAAAGCTCCTGCGACAAAACGTTCGTGTAATTTTTCATCTTTCTTTTTCGTGTAAATTGTTTTCTCTCAAGTGGACAACACTGGATTAACGGCATCTCTTGTATTCCATACAACGTGTTACACGTATACGATTATACGTTACGTGTACGTTACATCAACGGTAGAATTTAACACGCGCGTATATTTTTGTCGATACAGGTAATGTTAATGAGTCCTCAGTGGAGCGAGTCTCAAGAAAGTAGAGTAACCCTCCAAGAAACGCCACAATGTGTACCTATATTTAGTGAGTTTTTGCGATACTTTTATACCGGTCAAATAAGAATCAATTACGGTGTTGTTTTACCAATATTGTCTCTAGCCGACAAGTACAACGTCGAGGATTTAATATCACTGTGCCTTGATTACATGCAGAATCATATCGCGTTAGCCGCCATACACGGCACGCTAGTATCGTGGCTACAATACACGTCGAATTGCGGCCATCGCGATATCACGCAAGCATGTCAGAACTTTATCAAGTGGAATTTGGAATTGGTGGCTAAGACCGCGGACTTTGGAAATTTCGATTTGGATATATTAGTATCGTTGTTACATCAGAGTAGCTTGGTAATAAAGGACGAAATGACACTGTACAAATGTTTGGAATCTTGGCTGGATCATCAGACAAATCGCTTGAAATGCCAACTGTCGCACGACGAATTGGAAGCTACGCTGGAACAATTGGTGATAGCCGTGATGTCCCCCGTTAGATTTCCAATGATGTCTCCTCGACAATTGGCGGAATTACTCTTGTTTCCCTTGACGAAGAGATACAAGGAATTCTTCGTAGAACGTATGTCCATAGGAATGTCGTTTCATTCCGGTCAGTTGGACAGAGTCAGAGAAGTGAGTTCGAACGAAGAGGACGGTGCGTTACTCTTCGAACCAAGATTGTACACCGTGGATACTTGCAGTTCGCTACTGACGATAGAAAATTTCCACGGTTTACCCTCGTATCATACGAGAACGCTCGTATTTTCAAGTCATTCGTGTTTAGCAGAGTACGCCGGCGACCGTGCGTGCGAATGGATCGTAGATATATATCCGAAAGGGGTCTGGTTCAAAAAGTTTTTCCTAATAGTCTGGCAAGGAACCGTCGAAATGCCCGAACACGTGAAACGTTCGGTTCGATTGTCACTCACGTGTAAAGAACCACCTGTGAATAGCAACGCCGATATGCGAGTAAAAATAGGCGTTTTAATATACGGTCTGCAGGACGGCGTGGAACATATTGCCAGAGTAACGGAAATCATTCACAGATTTAGCAAGAAAGAGCGTGTTCTCAACTTGGACGATATTCTGCCGTTCGAGGAACTCAACCCGCAGCAAGGTTCCGTCTCGGAGAATACGTCTCCCTTCCTCGTAGGTCCAAACAAAGATATGCTCAAATTACACATTGTTATATCGCCAGCTAATCAGGACAAGTAGATGTCTCTCTCTCTCTCTCTCCTTAAGTTGTATCAGAAACGAAATCTCGTTCGAACGCATCGAACTCGCGCGTCTTTGTTTGTCAAATCTTCGATGTATGTATGTATGTATATATATCTTAGAATCTTTCTTCTTTCGGTAAATCGACATTTCAACGTCAAGACTACGGTAAAATTTTGTATTTAAAAACGTCACGTGTCTAATAAAATGTTAAAAAATTTCAATGCCTCGCCCATTCGAGCGTCATTACATTCGTCTTCTTTTCGAAGGATGTAATCGGCCGTTATCGATCATCGAGGATCGTTTGAAACAATTTAATTTTCAAGGCGTCTGTACAGGCGATTGACAGCAAGTTTGTATTTACCGCTCAAGGCTTCACCGTTGAAGGAAGAACCAAGGTATCGTTTTTACAAAAGTAACGACCATCTTTTGCACAAATTTAACGTTTCGTTCGTCGAACGATCCTCTTCTAACATCTAAAGAAAATATCCTTCGTAACGCGTGCTTACGACGATGCAAGCGTTCAAACGTTTCAACAATCGGTAGTTCGGAGACACGTAATCAAAAAAGGATGGAACGTCGCGATCGAGCGTTTGAATTTTAAAATCAAATAATTTCTATAATTTCGTTCGGCAAATCTCCGTCGATCGATCAAACGGATAAACTCATTCGCGACGAGAATAACAACTACTCTTCCATACTCTACTCTACGTAAAGAAAATATGCGAACCTTCGTAAGAAATTTTGAACGTCGTTCGAGCGAAAATCTTCAACGGGTTAAAGCATCTTTAAATCGATCGTATTTAAAGTCGCAAATTTTTACTAAAAATGCTGAAACATCGTCGTTGCACCATAGCGGAAAATACAAGCTTTCAGTTCGACGCAACAGGTGGTAATAAAAATTATCAAACAACCATAGAATTCACGTTACTCGAGAGAGCCGACTGCCGACGTCAAATCGCGAAACATTTGAAACGCAGTGAATAATATATAGCACATTGTATATACGTGTACGTATATATTTAACAATACAAACATAACAAGAACATCGTTCTGTTTCTTTCGTCAAGTAAATTTACCATTAACTCAGTCTCTAATTTTTTTACGCAATCGATCAAGCGATAGATCTACGTTGTCTCTGACAGTAAATATCTTTAAACTTTAGTCTTTAATCGTTTTAATTTATCACTCTCGTTTCATCTCGTACGACTTTTATAGGGATATTTTCGTTAAACCTATACAGCGCGTGTCGCACGTTGGTATCGCAACAAATCAAAGATAGAGCGCGTCGTCTTTCCGTCATCGACTATACGAACTATTTACACATCCAACAGCTCGTTCGTTCAAAGTTGTCGTTCGACGAATCGTTTCAAACGTGCGCGCAATCCACGTTTTTCGACGTGGAAATCTTTCGTATCGTTACGCAAAGCGTATCGAACAAATACAATTTTACTTTCTCGAACAACGTATAATTTGTATCTTTATTCTCTCGTTCCAACTAAATATCAATATCTTTTGATATTTTATCGACGTTGACAACGATATTTCGTTTCGATCGAAACAAGGTTAGTCGCAAGTTTAGCTCTTCGAAAATGTAAGGTTATCTTAGAAATTGTAAGGTTAGTTCGCGTAAAGGGTTATCACGCGTTTATACAAGGTAAAAGTCGCGGACGGACGATAGTCTTTCGTCGCAAACGACGATCGTGGAAAAAGAGAAGTTAGAAAGAAAGGTATAGCAAACTAATTTTTCGTACCTGCGATACGTTTCGAGTAACTGTAATTTCAATGTTTTCGAACAGAGATATTCCGTTTCTTCTCACGTTGCATCGCGTTACGTTTAATGTAAAAATTTATGTCTTTTGCGCAATCAATCGCCGAACGTATCTCGACAGTTGTCTCGATATAATTCGATGGAAGAACGGCGAGAGTTCTTCCATTTGAAAAAGAGATAAAACTTTTGTCTCTTTCGTCTTCATCCGTACACGTGATCGTCTTTTACAAGAGCAGAGATACGATCCTCGCGTCACGGAGACATCGATCTAATAATTTAAAAAGCGCATATTATTAATCGCGTTGGAACGAAACACAGATATCATCGAATATCGCGATGTAAGAAGAAAGATGTTTTTAGAAACAATGGAGTCGGACTACGACGAAGATCGCGGAGCTTGGACGGAAGAAACGACAAGAAGCGAAGATTGCACGGGCGAAGATAATTTCGACAATCCTCAAGAGATATTAAACGAATGCTTGGATAAATTTAAAACGCCAGATTACATCATGGAGCCTGGTATATTTGCACAACTTAAAAGGTATAGTTTGCGTTGCCAACACACGCCGAACGTATCGATGTAGTATATATTTGCGCGATTAGTTTGAAACTTAAAACGCGTTTGTTCGTTCCTCGTAGCAGCGTATCTTTTTAGAGCTACGAACTTGGTAGTTTACGAAATTCGAGAGAAACGCAGTGATACTTATCATCGTCGTTGTTCCTTGCAGATATTTTCAAGCTGGTGGAAACCCGGAACAAGTGATAGAATTGTTATCTAAAAATTATACAGCTTGCGCTCAAATGGCAAATCTTCTCGCAGAATGGCTTATTCTCGCTGGAGTTAAAGTCACAGATGTACAAGCAATGGTAGAGAATAACCTGAAAGACATGATATTGAAAACGTTCGATCCTAAGAAAGCAGATAAAATTTTTACAGAGGAAGGCGAAGTAAGTGTCTCGTTGAATCTTATTAAATCCGAATTAGATCGGAACGTTACTTTAATAAAATTTAATATCCCGCGTAACGTCAGACTCCCGCTTGGTTAACGGAAATGATACAACATCCTACTTGGAGATCGCTCATCTACAGACTCGCGGAAGAATATCCCGATTGCTTGATGTTAAACTTCACCATAAAGGTAAAAGTCGATCAGAATACAACGCGGATTCTCCTCGACGCTTCTTGCGATATTTATTCGTTCATTTCTCTCGCCAAACTAGGTTTATCATTCGATCGTTGCGTCGTCAAGTCGAGAATCATCGTACGCTTTTTATCAAACTTTTTACAGCTTATATCCGACGCTGGATTCCAAGGTGAAATTACCAGCATTTCGACGGCTGCGCAACAAATCGAAGTATTTTCACGAGTTTTAAAAACTGCAATTGCTGGGTTTTTGCAAAATACGGAAGATTGGCAATCGAGTATACAAGAATGTGCGGTTAGTGCTACGTAGCGTTACGATTTATATCGAGAATTAACTTTACAAATATCGCGTCTCACGTACGTAGAAAAAACTACGAGACTCGCGAAAGATATAACTCCGAGTAGAAGACAACGTTTCTCGCGTAAGAAAATTACCGGCGTTCACGCATAACAATCTTTTTCCTGTGTCAGAAAATGGTATGCCACGGACAACACACGTACGTCTACAGTCAAGTGTTGTTACAAATTCTTGCGCAAGAGTCACGCGGAGGATTCACGATGAAAAGGCTTTCGCAGGAAATTACCAAATGCGCTCAGCAGAAGTGAGACAAAGTTTTTAATATTTTATCAAATACGTATATACGAAGGAATCGTATTCGATCGTTCGCGACTCGCGATACGTACATATATATATATATATATATATGCGTGCGCGCGCGTGTGTGTTTGTAGCCATCACGACGTTACTCCGATAACAATGGCACTCAACGGAGCTTCGAGCAGCCCTAGCGCGTGCCAGGCACTCGCATCCATGTTGTCGCGAAATACTTTGAATCCTGCCGATATTACCGTGTTGTTTCGAAATTACTCCACCGCGGAACCACCGCCTATAGAGTTGCTTCGCAATCCACAATTCTTAGGTATCGCGATACGTTAATTTAATTTACAAAATTACAATCGCTCGCCGTAACACACGTATCACACGATATCACGCGTATTGCAATTTATGAATTTCAGAACTACTGGTCGACGCACTTTTCAAACCAGGTGTAAAAATCAATCCCGAGCACAAGTCCAAATACGTGTACTTGTTAGCTTACGCAGCCAGCGTGTGCGACGTTCCAGCGAAGAAGGGACATTCGCGGAAATTGAACAAAGACGAATTGAAAACCACCGTTCAAGCCATAGAAAAAGTTCATAACATTTGTAACATCAACAAAGGATCCACCGAGTTGATAGCAGAATTGCAAACTTTGTATCAGTCTATAAGGTATCGCGTACTTGTACACTTGCATACTACGAATTCGCACGTTACGACGATCGCAACAATTATCTCTATCTCGCGATAACGTACGATACTCGACTATCGTTTCAGATTCCCCGTTGTAAGCGTAGGTATAATCAGATGGGTAGAATGTACCGTAACCGAACCATCGTATTTCAAATTATGCACGGAACATTGCCCCGTACATCTCGCATTGCTCGACGAAGTTGTAGTTTGCCATTCTTTGTTGCATCCGAAAGTGTTGCAACTTCTCGTACAGTTGTTCGAAAGTAAACAAGACGAACTGGAGATACTCGTGCAGGTACGAACATATAGAAATATATAGGAAATTTGATAATAATTTGACAACAATCAACGACGTTATTCCGTCATGGACGTACGTCCGATTTCGATCTATCGCGCAAATAGTTTGCAACAGTACGTCGTCGGTAGACGGAAGAAAACGCTTTCGAGAATCGCAGAACATCGAGTGGAACGTCGTTGGGCGATGTCAGGCATCGTTCGAACAGTCAATCATCGTACAATTTTCAACGTACCGTTCGTACGACGTAACGAAAAAAACAATCGGGAGACACGTCGGTGTTGCAATTGGACTTGTACCTCGAACACATTTCCGCAAGTGAAAATTTATAAAATTTGGCACTTTCTTCGATTTTCAGTTGGAAATGAAAAAGATGTTAATCGATAGAATGGTAAACTTATTAAGCAGAGGTTGCGTCGTACCGGTAGTGTGTTACATCAAACAATGCTGGCAGCGCGGAGACACGGACGTGTCTTTGATCAGATATTTCGCGACGGAGGTACGACAACTAGAGTAACCGTTTTTTTAAAACAAGCGTGCGCAACGAACCTCGGACAATGTTAAAACTACGCACTTGCATCAGGTTTTAGAAGCAATAGCTCCACCATACACGGCAGAATTTATTCATTTGTTTCTCCCTATGGTCGAAGACGAAGAAATCACAGGTACGATGCGCGGTGACAGCGAAAACGATCTCGTTTCAGAATTTATAGGTAAACTACTTTACAAACTATAAATCGCGCACGGAGCGTTTAGTCCATACAGCGGACCGTTTAACCTTTAACCTGTTTGTATTCTTTTCAGTACACTGCAAAGCACATTGTCCCACTATAAGGTGATGTTTTAAAAGGAAAATGGATCGAATCGAAGAAAAGCCGACGATGGTATCGTAAGATTTTGTTTACTTTGCACAAGAACATCGAATCGCTATACATAAATTTTCTTTACTATTTCGTTAGATTCCTTCCTTCTTTCATAGCACAAACGTGCAACAGGATTCATCCATACGTACGTACATACGTATTCGAAGAGTCAGATGATTTCTCCATTAATCTGTGATATAATTTATAGATTTTCTGCAACAAAAATAACGAGATGTAATTTTTGCAACGAATAAACGAGTAAAAACTAAAAAACAGATTCGACGTGCGTATAATTTCTCTCAAAACGTTAAACGCAGTTTGTCGACGCACGAAAGCGATCAGTCGTTTTATCGGACTGTTCAACCGCCGTTAACGTTCGATCATTCGCGATCTGCAAATCATCACCGACAAATTGACGGTACAATTCCGAAAGACGCACGTATCTCGCCTCACGGAGGAGATGGTTGAAAAATAT